GTCTGGTGTTGATCTTCTGTGGTGATTAGAGGAGTTTTGGGCTTCACCTCTGAGAGACTGAGAGTCTATCACATTGCAACTCAGATGCAAGAACGGGAAGGACATGCAAACTCTTCAGGCAACAATTCTAACATTAGCACAAAGCCTAAACAAACTGGTACACTTCTAAACTACTACCACCCGAGTTGTGATAGCATAATTATCTTATTCCAAGGCCCTTCAAAGGCCATCAACCCATCTTAAAAGAATAATGGGAGGATTTCTGCGAATTTCTGAAAAGACCCGACCTCTCCATATAAAAAAAAACACATGCACAACCCTGTACCCGCTCCCGAGAGGGAATGCCCATTAATTAATTAATAGGGGTGCGAGAGCATGCATGAGTGTACGCTCTGTTTAAAAGTTGCTGTTTGCATCACTCATACAAGCTTACTTTCCAAAAGAATATTTGCAATTTTTTAAATAAAATAGGGACGAGCACGTAGGACGACCTTAAGTAAACATATTACCAGAATGATTGACAATTAGGAAGACCATTTATTTTGGTGATCCACCCAAAAAAGAACATCCTCCACAATACATTTAAGCATGCAGTGATTCATTTAATTGAAAAGCAGAAGCCATCTCTTCTATAATACGTAACTGGGATGTGTAAATCCTGCAAAGTTTGCTTTGTTAGTTCAAAGCTAGACACATGTCTGGCTGGGCAGAGATCCATTGTTACATATCAAAGTAGATCTGGTCTACATAGAGCAGCATAGAAAATAAATGAGGCCTCGCATTGGTACGACGTCAGGTGTGACGAGGTACTTTGGAAAAACCTACAAGATGGCACGGCAAGCGGCTAAATCATAATTTTTCCACTAATGAATCAACCTGAGGGGCCTCCCCTTGGTTGTCATTGTAGCCTTCCTCTGTTGTTTCGTCTCTTACCACACTACCACACCCAAAACCAGACCACAGAGGAGAAATTAATCACCGTGGTGCTGTTGGGATGGTGGCTTAGGGAACCTGCTAAAAGACAGCACTAGACCTGCAGGTTGAGGCAGGCAGAAACCAACAACCTGCTGGCTGAGGCTGACAGTCCAAATATATATGAGATTCACTACAGCTATAAAGGTTTAGAATAATTAGAATGTATCCATGACGATTAGCTGCTGTGAAAACACCAATGGGAGGGTGGGGGTCCACGGGCTGAGAGAGGAATGTGCCGAGGGGATGAAAAGCGTGGCTACTGGTCATTATCTTTGAATATAAATGGGACCATCTAATGAAGGGCTGCACGTTCTTTTTAAGGTCTAACTTTCCGTTTACTTTGATCATACTTTTGTATTTCTTTGTTGTTATACTAACGAGTTTTGGGGGGATTTTTGTGTCATCAGTCTCCAGCTTTGTTGATTTAACCAATAGGCTGAAGAAAAAACATGCATGATAACCAAGAAAGCTTCATTCTGTACGTATTAGACCACCTGTTGAGAGGTTATCATCAGTGTCTGAACAGTCGAGATTAAACCTATAGATAACTAGAGATGATTTTTAAAGGCCAAAAGCGAATTATTTTGATCATTTCAATCTAACGGATTCCCAGTATGTGCTGCCAGTTTTGTAGCACATTTTGCTCTTTCTTCTTCTATTAACATAATAAAAACACCAAAATTATTATAAATGTTACACAAGCCTCTATTAACATATAAATTAAGACGCAAAAAAACTAATCTTGGCCTAAAACATCAGATGGTTGATGTTTGTGTCTGTCTCTATACATAATGCAACAAATAAAGGTCCATGGCATGTTTTAAATTTTATAAGTTTATAGTAAATAAAAAACAAAAAAAAAACAAGAAATTTAAAAAATGGACAAATTTTTATTTTTTGAAAGAAAATGTTCTTTTTAGTAATAAAGTCTAATAAAAACATGTCATGTTTGCAAAACAATCTAAATCATAGACGAGAAGAAGCAAGATCCCACTGAAAAACATCTTCTTTTCACTTAAAAAATGAGTCTCAATCAGAGATGGAATAAGTTGCCAATCTTAAAGCATGTATCTTTATATCCAGGATTTGTGCCAGAAACCCAGCCGTCTCATTTTACCCCTTCCGAACATCCCACAGCCAAATGTTAGTGGTATTGTAGCAAAAAAGGAGCGATTGGAAGGAACAGCAACTCAGCTATTACTTTGTCAAAATGTAAACACCACAGATGGAGGTCGGCGGATGCTGAGGCAGGTAGTCAGCAACATCCCAAGCATTCCTCGTCAATAGCTAAAGACCTCCTAAATTCATGTGGCCTTCAGAATAATTAATGTAAATCCCTTTATTGCCCCACAATGGGAAAATTCATTCTCGGCATTTAACTCATCCCCTTGGACAGCAGTGGGCTGCCATTATGTGGCATCTGTGGAGAAGTTTGGGGTTAAGGGTTTGCTCAGGAACCAAGAGCACAAGCACACTGCTCTAATCCACCAGGTCAACACTACCCATCATATAGATGCAGAACATTGCAAAGAGACCTTGATGGGACGAGTTTCCGTTATTAAGCAGCTGCAATATTGCCAGGTTAGAAATTGAGATTTTATTTTGATATTTCGCAGCGCTAACTATAAGGAAGTAGATGATTCACGCCATTGTTTTATCGTTTTCAAGACATGGACAGCTTGCATGCCCAGTGTCCATTGTCGCAGGACTTTAATCTAACTATTATGTGGAAAAGTGCTTATTTCTACTGGCATGCATGGTTCTGCTACCTAGCTGCTACCCTCGCTGTCCTTTTTCTGTGGCAACAAACCTACTTTTGGCCACCTAAAAGGCTGAAGTGAGAAAGTCAATTGTCTCACTTCTGTTGAAGTCCTTCTGCCATTTGCAAATTGTGATGACATTACATATGCAATTAATTCTTGCTCTTCTCTTGTGAGAAAAACTGTAAATCTTTGGTATTCCTTAAATATTTCAAAGTTGTTCAAACTCCCCACTCTGTAGAAACAGTTTCAGGCATACCACTTCCTGTTTTCTGAACAATGCAACTGGTCTAAGTCATGACCAAAACCCAACAGAACATCTTTGGGGTGAATTAGAGTGGAGAATGTGAACAAGGGTTTTTGGGTCCCACATCAGTGTCTGACATCCTAAGCTTCTGAATGAATGCACCAACATTCCCATAAACACACCTATAAACCTTGTGGAAAGCCTTCCTAGAGGAGTTCTACCTGTAAAAATATGCACAGAAAGGATAGACATCATATGAAACGATGTATTTGGAAGAGAATGTCACATTGGTTGTGTGACGGTGAGATAAAAAGCCCAACATGAAGCTGATTACCTTCTGTGTGTGTGTGTGTGTGTGTGTGTGTAGCTTAGTGACAAAGCATTTTTACACAGTGCTGACCTCAGAGGAGATCATACTGAGCCCAACTCAGCAACCTGTCTAGCAATTACACGATGAGTCACTATGCATCCAGTGTCATTGTTACGTTATTATGGTGATTTACTGGCTCCAACTTACATTAAATACATGTCGTTGACAGACAATCTCTGTTTACCGTATCTATAAAGCAACAAACTTTTCGCTCAGTGAACGCTACATTTTTAAAAATTGGATGTTAATTAATCAAAATGAAAGTGAAATGAAAACAAATGAAGCTATTTTTAAATCAGAAATCCATTAACAGAGATGTCAACACGTGGTACTGTACAGACAGCGCCCTGCAATGGTATAAATCTCTTTGTTTAACATGGGATGTAGTAAGATAAGTGCAAAAGAAATCCTAGCATTTATACAGAGTTTATAAATTATTGATAGGGCTGCATCTAAAAACAGGTTCTCCAATTATGAAATGCTCCTTATGTTAAAAAATGCATTACTGTCCTTTTCGTCACCACTAGTATCAATACTTCAAAGTTAGTGTTAATCGAACCTCTCCGTTCATTCTGACTGGACTTTGGCTATAATGAGTTAAAAAAAAAAGAATGGGCATGTGCAACATTATATAATCTATAATTATTTTCTTTCCACTAGAATTAGTTGTTGATCTGTACATGAATAGGTAAGGTAAGGATACAAAGTGTGAACAAAGATCAACATCAAAAGCTTATCTATGTCACAGAGTTTAGACCAGAGTTTTTTTTTTTTATGATGGGAAAATGAATTAATTAATCTTAAGAGGTGGAAAAAAGGTCTTCTTTTGAAGCCTGTTCTGCACTGATGAAATCAGGTTGCTTATGATAGATTATTTATTATCTAAGACGGAGAGAGAGGGCGGCTTGTAAAGTGAGTTGGCTTAGTAAACACAGCTCTGGGTCAAAGTCTGACTGCAAAATCAGGAGAAAAGGCAAGCGAAGGGGAGCGGGGACGAGAAACATGAGAGGCAGCAGCTTTTGTCTTCTCTCTTCCATGCGGCTCACATGACATTAAAGCCGGTCTTTTCAATACAAACATACGCATGTTTGCAGACAAACCCGCCTTCGGTGAAACCTTGTCATTTCTTTATTTATTTTAGAGATGAGCATAGGAGGGATTAAGAGTCCAGCAGCCTTGTCTGCTGACACTGACAAGGGGCAAAAGGTCAGATCTAGGGAAAACAATGCAACCAAAACACTGCAGGAATTTATAAAAAAAGGATAAAAACAAAGAAAATGATGAAATAGATCCATGGGATGAAAAGTAAAGTTGCAGCTGGGTTTTAGGGGAAGGCATTGTGTGTTCCTCAGTCCTCATATTACAATCTAATCTGGGAACAAGAGACAACCTGCACAGGCCTAATCCTCCCTCTGCACAAGATATTCATTCATAAAACCACTCCACAGAGCAGGGGTGCTCAAGCATAGCTCCTCATTGGCATCCACTGAGATCAGATGTGAAAATAAAAGCACTTTGAAGGAAACAAGGAAGGATTTAGAGGTATAAAGAGGATGCGATGTTTACAGAGTGGGATGCTGAAGCTGAGAAAGGCATGTTGAGATCCTGGCAGGTGTGACAAAGGAGCATCTCTGCCCTGCATCCTTACCTCAGGGCAACGCGCACCGAGCTCTCGTCCGCTCCGCCGCTCATGACGTCACCGAGAGCGTCCACCTTATAAATAGCTCCCTTTCCCTTTCCGTCCTTTCTTTTATCCTCTTAAGTAGACGGCCTGCCGTCCCCCCTCCCCCACCTTTCACCGAAGCGCGTGGGTCTGCAGCCTCCACGTTCAGCCGGCCCGAAGGTTCATCTTTTACGCAGCGCTGCAGCCGAACGTCGCGTCGCGGCGGGTGGAAAGAGAGCCGGTGGCGCTCAGCCCTGCAGCCGCATCGTTCTCGCAGCTTCCCGGCGCGCGTGGCGTGAGTGGGAGCGTGGAAGTGGAGGGAGCCGCTTTTGGCGTGTGGTTTCCACGAAGGCTGGGGACGTAACAAGACTCCTCCTCCTGAGCTGTACCAATCCTGACTGAGCAAAACAACACACTATAACAATAATATCTAAATAAATAAACATTTTATCTCCTCTAGGCATAAATCTATTATTACTAATAATCATTTTTCTATTATTTATTAAATAGGCAAACCAATTTTCCTGTAAAGGACCCTAATTATCACAATTTAGAACATATACGTTTAATTAATATTTATACCTGCAATGCTTTAAATTAAATATAATTACCTTTAAATAAATCATATTTTTTTTATCTAAATATTATTTTCATATTTAATTTAGGGATTATTTCTGTTTTTTGGATTTTGTAAATAATTGAATATTTAGCTAAATTATGATAATAATCTAACATTATATGGAATATATGAATATTATATCATATGAAATACATAAAATACATAAAGATGTATTTTACAAGACATTTATTTCTTTTGTTGTATTTTGAGCACAATAAAAGCCATCAGGTCATTCAAGCCTTCAAGGCTTTGCTGCCCTCTGGAGGTTTTATTGTGACATTGCAGGGTTAAATTAATCAGCACATGATTAATCAGCAGATGAGTGTGATATCTTAGTTATTTAATACAGTTTTTTTTTTTTCATCTATTCTTTAGTTTTGAAAATATCTACCAGAGGGAATTAGAGTATCACGTTTGTCCAACCTTATAAGAGATAGGATAGAAAAAAGAGCATATGAAGCAAAAGCTGTATTCAACTGAAAATACAGGTTTACTTTACAACATAGAATACTCAAATCAGTTAGGTTGATTGACTGCACTTATTATTTTTTGTAATATAAAAATAACTTTAAATGGTTATCAATAAGACAGACAGAATTAAATAACATTTGTGACTACAGCTGTAAGGTTGAGTGGGCAAGAAAAACTTGCTAAATCCTCATTCTGCCATTGGCTCTTGTCTGGTGTTGATTCAACTCAACTTTATTTGTAGAGCCCTTTAAAGCAACTACAGCTGCCTTGAAATGTTGCACACACTAAACAGATAAAACGGTTTTTAAAAAACTAAAAACAATAGAACTGGTAAAAATAAATTAATATTCATAAAAATATTCAAAAAACATTAAATAAACAAATAAAACAAACAACTAAAAGAAACCACCAAAACATAATAAGTCTCATATGGTTTTGAAAGCCAAAGAATACATTTCGTTTTAACCAATATTTGTCATCCAAAGCTGTTGTTTTGGTCATTCTAACAGCTAAACTGCTTCATCTCTCTGAGGACAGGATGCTGGGAGGCCATCACATTTTCTCTGCTTTCAAATTTTGGAGAAAACTCAAATATGGGAACACTTTAGTAGCACAAATAATTAGAGGTGCTATCACCACATTCTCAAAGCTGGCATGAAGAAATTTTAATCTAAAGGACAAAGATGCTACTTTCTACTTGTCTATGAAGTCTAAATTGGATGGCAATGACAGCACCCCGAGTTAAAAGTTTGCATGGTGTGGTGCTAGAGTTAGACTCTTGACTCTTATGAACATAGTCTTTTGACCTGTTCCCTCTAGAAATCACTACACTAGTAGGATTTTTTTTACATTTGTGATCTTATTATTATCAAATTTAGATTTTAGACCTACAATATATGCATGGTGCTCCTAAAATAATACATGTTCCCTGATTAAAGCTTAAGTTAGATTCAGGCAGGACCTCTGTGTCTCCAGATCTGAACTTTACTTTTTGGGTTTTTGGGTAATATTCCCCAAAATAGAATTTCTTATATACACATGGATTTTTCTTATTAAACTAAATTTTCCAAGTTACAACCTTAAAAAAAGAGAACATCCTCTGAAGGACTTTTTTAAACATCCATTTATGAGAATAACATTTTAGTGTTTAATGCATAACATGAAGGGGAACTTTTTTCTTCTGAAAGTAAAACTACATATTGAGTACAAACTGTGCAAAAAAAACTACTGCAATATAAGATAAGCAACATAAAAATGTCCTTCTACCGTAGGCTTTTTTTGTTTGTTTCATTTGGAACTAGGAAACGTTAATCTCCCAGTACTAAATGAACCCACTAACAGAAAAAGCTTTATTTAATTGTAATACAATGTTATAGCCAGCAGAGGGCAGCACACCGACTAACTTTCTTGTTTCCAAAAAAGAAATTAATTATTGGCAAGGCATATTTATTTGTAAAGCACATTTCAGTAACAAGATAATTTAAAGTGCTTTAGATTAACAAAACATGATAACATCATAAATAATATAGATACGTAAGTAATAGTTGGACAATAAGCTTGAACCAATTATGTTTAAGTTAACAACAATTTAGCACAATTAAGGGCAAATTTAAATAAATAGGTTTTTAATCTTGGTGACGTGTATTACATTTAAAGTGAAGATTTTTTAGGGGGGGATTAGTAACCTTGCATAGGAAAGATTGATATATAGAATACAAATTGAACTGGACTATCAATCTGGAAAGCCTAATGTGGAAAGTGTTTGAAAAAGGGAGGGACATTCAGTACAATTCTTCAAGCTGATTGGGAAACTGCCTCCTATGTTAAGCTTATAGCCAATCACAGCAGCAGTAACAGCTTGATTTGTTTCTCAACTACCAGAGTTAACTGATGAATCAAACTCTTTCCAAATCCTGTTGGGGGGAACATGCAAACATCTTCCCATCCACAAAGGCAAAAATAACGACCATTTGCCTATATTTCAAAAAGAAATAGAGGGTACTCCAGCTAAAACTGGTGCAGCCATGTCTGCTTTGCTTCAGCCTTCCATCTCTGGTTGACAAGTGGATGTAATACACGTCATTGCATTTATTTGGTCCGAAACATATTTGTGTCGAGCTAAATGCATCTGCTGGCTTCTGACAAGATGTATTTTCAGGAGTTTGCAAATTCCCAAATTTCACGCAATTTATTGTCCATGCAAGGTAACTAGATTAGTGGACATAGGAACTAAAAGCTGCTTCTCCTTGTTTGGTTCTGAGTATGCAGAGTAGACTCAGTCCAGAAGACCTGAGAGGTCTGGGTGTTGGCTCCCCTGATAACAATATGTAATGTATTTTGGTGCAAAGCCTTTCACTGATTTAAAGACAAACAGAATTAATTTAAAGCCTGTTCTCTGAGTAACCAAGTACATTGTCTCTTCACAAGCTCCACTTTATGTGCATCTGTTGCCTTCATTCCAATGACATTACTCAGACTTCTTTTTAAGGGAGTTTTTCAGCTGCTATAAATGATCCACTTTTCCAAAGTGAATAAAAATCGGTATGTTTTTTTTAGCTCTTTCTTTTAACAACTTCCTAGAGACTGTTAAGTCTACACAGTAGAACAGTGGGTAGCACTGCTGCCTTACAGGAAGAAGGTTCAGGGTTCGATTCTGCATGGAGTTTGCATGTTCTCCCTGAGCATGTATGGGTTCTCTCTGGGTACTCTGGTTTCCTCCCACAGTCCAAAAACTAATTTAAGGTATTTTTACTTATTTCCAGATCAAATTTTGCCGGACGACCGCAGATATGTTCACCATCGTTGATATGTTCACCATTTTTGATATGGTCACCATCTTTGGCATGCTCACCATCTTTGATATGTTAACCGTCTTTGATATGTTCACTATCTTTGACATGTTTACCATCTTTGATATGTTCACTATATTTGACACAGTCACCATCTTTGATATGTTCACCATCTTTGATATGTTAACCATCTTCGATATGTTCACCATCTTTGACATGGTCACCATCTTTGATAAGTTCACCATTTTTGATATGGTCACCATCTTTGATAAGTTAACCGTCTTTGATATGTTCACTATCTTTGACATGTTCACCATCTTTGATATGTTCACTATCTTTGACATGTTCACCATCTTTGATATGTTCACCATCTTTGATATGTTAACTGTCTTCGATATGTTCACCATCTTTGATATGTTCACTACCATTGATAAGTTCACCATTTTTGATATGGTCACTATCTTTGACATGGTCACCATCTTTGATATGTTCACTATCTTTGACATGGTCACCATCTTTGATATGTTCACTATCTTTGACATGGTCACCATCTTTGATATGTTCACTATCTTTGACATGTTCACTATTTTTGATATGTTGAGGGAGAAAGTTAGGACGTGATGGGGCTCTGCAGCTTCTGGAAGATGCTGTTTCATTGGCGGGATTAGGGTCATGAGGGAGGCTGTGGGGAGATGTGGGATTTTTAGGGGGTTAGCTGTGTCACAATCTTAAATACTTTCATTCACGCAGTTGTAGTGAAATCTAGGCAATGGAGATTAGGTCTAATTTAAAAAGAGGAGAGGTTGATAAAGTCCAGGTTAGCATTTTGGCTCTCTGTGGGAGTATTGGGATGGTCAACCTTTTGTTACACTGAGAAGAAAGTAAGTAATTTTACTCAACAACAGGTTAGTATCAAGGCTTTTTATTGGGAAAAATGGGTCAAAGAACCACACCATCATCTTCTTCATTAGCTCACATGTGAAATATGATTTAAAACAATCGTATCTTTTCAGAAAGAGGGGACTCCATCATATGCTTCCCATCCAGTCAACAAGAAGACTCTTTCTTTTTTCTCCTTTAATAACTGAAACTGTAACATCAGGAAAAACCCGATTACCACTTAGAGCTGCCCTCATGCTCGGCAGACTTTGTGTCATTCGGTGGATCGCGGATCTCCTGTCAACAAAGTCTGGGCTTAAAACAAAAAGTGAAGTTCAGTTCCCAAAGAGGTGCTTTTTTCATATAACATGTCATCACCATTATTCAAAATATTAGTAGCTATCTACCATTTCCGTGGCATTTTTTGTTTTTTTTTGCTTTTCATTCAGCTTTGTGGGGAAAATGTCAGAATTCAAACCCCCACCCGGCTCATCTAAAGCTTTTAATCATCCCCTAAAAGCGACAACTGAAGGTTTTAAGGTTGCTGCTCAGTTCAATAAGAAATCTCACAATGCCAGGTCAAGACGCTTCATATCAAAAGGAGT